AAAAAAAAAAAATAGTGCTTCTCTGATGGAGAGAAGAGTTGGTGTCTCTTTTGCAAATTTATCTACGGCTGACGTGTGTGTTTTATTTTATTATTGTATCTTATTTTTTTCGGACTCCCCCGAAGCTCAAAGATAAACGTTTGTATTTTAGCCACCATCCACCAAACTGTCAGAATTAGCGGAAGTCACCAATAACTAAGTCTTGAGGGTGGCGGAATTCTAGGGAAATGAACCTTTCCACTCTGCTAGTTTGCTTTTTTTTTTTTTTCTGGTTTACAAACAAACCGTCACTGCGGTGGGGTTTCAGGAGAAAACAGTGACAGTGAAAACAGAGGCTAGTTCGATCTGTTCTCTTGACGGGAAGGACAGTTTGAACAGAGAATGTGAAAGGCGAGGTGTCTGCGGGCCGCAGGTCATGGGAAAGAACGTTGCAGGCAGAGGGGTAGCAGGTGCATCGGAACAACCACATTGGCACAACGCCGTGGGTGCTCAAACTTGAGCGAGCATTGGAGTGTTTGCAGGGCTCCGTCAAGCCCCGATTTCTGGGCTCCTCCTCCCAGAGCTTCTGTGGGTCTAGGTTGGGGTGCTAAAATTTGCATCGCTAACGTGTTCTGGCTGGCACGCCATCTGCTTGGGCCCCACACTGGTATCATTATTGCTTTCTTGTAATTCCCCAGCAAGGCCCAACGCGGGATGCAATATAGGGCTGGCGTTACAAGATACTTGTTCAGTTGAGTGAAAATTTCCCAGTGTTTTATGGGCTGTTGACTCCTGTTGGCGGAGGGATGAATTGTCTGGTTCCCCACGTCCCCCGTCCTGGACAGTGAGGCTGCCCGAGCGGAAGGGGACTCCGCGGTCAGTGTGGACCACAGCGGGTGTGAGCAGACCGGGACTTCAGTGGCAGCTCAGGGCCATCTCCCTCTCAATCGGGGGGGAGCTTCCTCTTTTGGGGCCAGGTTCTGGCTGCTTCTCAGCGAATCCTCCCACCTCCACCTCATTTACCACAACAAATGGGAAACTGGAGTTTCCTGCATCTGACTGAAGATTGTCCCGCTCCTGTCAGGGAATTTCTCCACTTGGACTCTCCAGCCTTCTGCTTGTGGGGTCCCAGGGGCTCGTGACAGGAAGCATTGGGTGGGCAGGTGGGGGGAAGGCCAGGGGAGGCCCAGGGGTCCTGGGGAAGGTGCAGGGGGGGTGGGGGCTGGGCATGACACTCCGGGTTTCACGTCGGGGTGTGTGTGTCGGGGGACGTGTGCGCCAGCAGTGAGGGTGGTGGAGGCCTGGCTGGACCCTGACCCCTCTGTGGAAGCCCCGGGGCGGGGGGAGTCTCAGTGGGCTTAGGGGCTGCCAAGAAGGAGGAGAAAGAGACAAAGGGGACAGAGAGACTCAGACAGAGGGAAACAGAGACAGGGAGACACAGAGACAGAGACAGACAGAAACAGAGAGAGACAGAGAAACACAAAACGAGAGGCCCAGGGAGCTAGAGACATAGATAGGGAGAGACACAGAGACTCCCAAACAGTGACAGGCAGTGACTCTCACAGAGAGAAACAGAGAAATAGAGAAATACAGACAGGACAGAGGCAGAGACAGACATAGAGAAGAGACAGAGATGTAGAGAGAGACAGACACAGGGAGAGTCAGAGACAGACAGACAGAGGCAGAGATGGGCAGAGACACAGTGTGGCCCGGAGATGGAGAGACCGCCTCCCTCCCCCTGCAGAGACAATAGGGACAGAGAAAGGCACATGAGTCACCCCAAGCCACCCAGAGACTCGGGGCAATGGAGGCAGAGAGAGACGGCCAGGGCGCTGGAGGCCGCGGGAGTGAGGCAGGGAAAGAGGAACCGGGCAGAGCTTGGAAGGCCGGAGTGGAAGCGAGCCGCCCGGGGAGGAGAAAGTGGAGTGGGGAGGAGAGGGGCGGGGCGCACGTCGCCGGGATCCCCGCGGGCCGCCCCGGAAAGACCGGCTTCCGGTATAAAGCGCGGCGCACCGGCCGGGGCAGCAGTCCCCTGTCGCCTGCCATGCACTCCAGCCCCGACGCCGCCCCGGACCCGGAGGCCCCCTCGCAGCCCGCGCCCTGCTGCCGCCGCGCGCTGCCCTGGGTCCTGGGCGTCGCTGTGCTGCCCTTGGCCGTCGGCGCCGCCGTCTTCTTTGCCATTTACTGGGCGGTGCAGAGGACCCCCGCCTCGGCCAGCCCCGCGCCCACCCCGATACAACGCGGGGGCCTCGAGCTGTCGCCCGACGACCCGCAGCAGGTGAGAAGCTCCCTGATCCGGCCCTCGCGGGAGACCCCAGCCGCCCCTCTGGGACCCCGTGCTCTCTCCCGCACCCCTGGGGACACCTTTTCTGCGCCTGGAGCAGGGGAAAGGAGACTCAACTGTCCCTCTCAGACCCCTGAGGGCTCCCTTTCGCCATCCAGCACGGGGGGGGCACCCCTTTTCATCTCGCACTCCCACTTTTTTCTTTCTTTTCTTTTTTTTTTTTTGAGATAGAATCTCACTCTCTTGCCTGGGCTAGCCTGCGG